CAATGACCACAACAATGGCAACGTCAACGACGGCCATGACAACAACAACCGAAGTGAAGGAGAATTCCTCCATATCCACTTTACCTAATTCACGCAGACACAACTTCTTTTCACTCCCCTATCCCCCTGCAGAGAAAGGGTTGTCAGAGTCGAGAAATAGGTAATAACTTCTTGGGAAAGAAAAACAAATCCTTTTTCATTCCTTCCCCCAACACTTAAATTACAAGGAGAACTCAAACTTAGATCATAAGAAAACCTGGCTCTGATACCATGTTGAACAAAGTATTTGGGAAAATTCTCGGATATATTCAAATATTTCAGATATGCTTGGATTTAGATTCTTATTCTTCTCGAATTTGGAGGTATTCATAAAGAAGTACAAAGATTTGTTTACCCTAAATATAATAGGAAATAAATCTAAATTACAATAGGAAATAATTCTCAATTACAATGGGACAAAATAAATAGGTAAGTAAATAAAATCCCAACATAGTAAGGAACCAAAATCCTAACTAAATAAGGACTTGCCAACATTTTTAAATACTGAAATATTTTTATTTTTATTTTTATGGGTAGGCAATGATAAAGGAACATAGTTTTCTAAATTACTTTACCATGTATTTTTTCTTTAAATTTCAGCATTGGTACATACATTCCGAAACATCTTTTGTCGTCTAAAGCACCTAGGGTAACATCCCTCCACCAGAAGATTGCGTTCAAATAACTTTCCATGTGTCACGTGCATTAAAAATAATGACAATACTCATTATGCCTCAATACAATACAAGTGGTTGACGGTATTTGAGCGTGGTGCATAAAGGTCAACCTCTTGATACGTATTACATGGTGCTTGTTATGCTAAGATTAGGTTTCAGAGCACCAATCCTCAAAGGGGAAAAAGTTTCGACACATGTACGTATCTTTTCACAACGTGTTTTGTCGCCTTATGCATCGAGGCTAACATCCCTTCACCAAAAAATTTGAGTTCAAATTATTTTTTAGGTGTCGTATGCATTGAAAGCAAGAGTAATGCTCGTTATGCCCTACTACAATAAGGTACCAACATGTGGCAATCTACATTTGATTGTATTGCGCAAACGCCAACTCCCCTGTACTACATGTTGCGTGTTACACTAAGATAGGATTTTTCAGCATAATTCTAAGACATAATAAATTTGGCACATGCGTGTTTTGAGAAACAAGTTTTTTTCGCCTAAAACACCTAGGATAACATCCCTATAATTACTTTCTACCATATGAGGGTGGTGCATAAAGGTCAACCCCTTTGTACGTACTACATGGTGCCTGTTATGCTAAGATTGGATTTTAGAGCACCAATCCTCAAAGGGGAAAAAGTTTCGACACATGTACGTATCTTTTCACAACGTGTTTTGTCGCCTTATGCATCGAGGCTAACATCCCTTCACCAAAAAATTTGAGTTCAAATTATTTTATGGGTGTTGTATGCATTGAAAAGCAAGAGTAATGCTCGTTATGCCCTACTTACAATAAGGTACCAACATGTGGCAATCTACATTTGATTGTATTGCGCAAACGCCAACTCCCTTGTACTACATGGTGCGTGTTACACTAAGATAGGATTTTTCAACATAATTCTAAGACATAATAAATTTGGCACATGCGTGTTTTGAGAAACAAGTTTTTTTCGCCTAAAACACCTAGGATAACATCCCTATAATTACTTTCTACCATATGAGGGTGGTGCATAATGGTCAACCCCTTTGTACGTACTACATGGTGCCTGTTATGCTAAGATTGGATTTCAGAGCACCAATCCTCAAAGTGGAAAAAGTTCCGACACATGTATGTTCTTTTCAAAACGTGTTTTGTCGTCTTGAGCACTGAGTCTAACATCCCTTCACCAAAAAATTTGAGTTCAAATTATTTTATGGGTGTTGTATGCATTGAAAAGCAAGAGTAATGCTCGTTATGCCCTACTTACAATAAGGTACCAACATGTGGCAATCTACATTTGATCTTATTGCGCAAACGCCAACCCTCTTGTACTACATGGTGCGTGTTACACTAAGATTGGATTTTCCAGCATAATTCTAAGACATAATAAATTTGGCACATGTGTGTTTCGAGAAAGAAGGTTTTTTTTTTTTCCGCCTAAAGCACCTAGGATAACATCCCTCTACTATAGTATTGAGTTCAAATTACTTTATATGTGTCACATTTATTGAAAGTAACAATAACGCTCATTATGTCCCACTACAATAAGTTATGTGTTAGGTGATATTTGAGTATACACCGTAAAGGTCATCTTGTGAGCATATATGATTGTTACACACTCATAATGGGTGTGTGGTTTGCCCTCCATCATATGACTAATCACTTTAATATCTGTTTAGTTACAAATTCATGTTATAATATTCGACAAAATGTGAAAATGTTATGGTAATGCATGATAATTTTTTTAAGTGCCAATAATAATTTTCTTAATATATTAATAATTTTTTTGTAGATATATTAATGTTCCTATGTATGCTCATAATTTAATAATAATGTGTTTTCAAATATATAAAATCATAGGAACAAATCAAAGTCTAATCTTAACAGCCGAAATAATAATTCATGTTTATATTTGTTTGCACTACAATTATCTTGGCATAAATGTAAACTTATCAAACCCAATTAATCCATGTCTAGTAATAATTATCTGACATGCCATGCATAGGAAGCCATGAGGAGAATTGATAGGATACACAATAATGTCAGTAGTCTCTTGATATCAAGAATCCAATTGTACCGTACCATTACATATAAACAGGGAAGCATCCTTTTCATTCTGAAACTGATTTATTGCCATATTAATTTATTTTGCCCACTCCCATCATGGACCAAGTTATACCTTGCCATTCAAGAATTTATTTTATTAAATATAAGTGATGGTTGAAACTATTCTATCGCAATCTCATATGGGGCATCGAGCTCGAGTGCAAAAAACGGGTACCCTACTTTGATTAACTAACCTAATTCACGTTCATTTAAATCAAAGATATTTAGGGAATATAAAAAAAAAGAATTAAAAAATGTTTAAAATGACAATATACAAATTACAAGATAATCTAAAGGCTAATTTATAATTTTGAAATAAGTTGTGATTGTCAGCACCTGAGTTTTTATCTGCAATACACCTGGAAATGATAGAGAGAGGAGCAAATTTGATGATTGATATATGAACCCACCACCCAACTCAACAAAATTAACAAAAGCATACAAATTTAAACAATATATTCATGGGCCAATCACCAATGAACCCACGCGCTTGTTTTAGGCTTCAAAATCTCACGCGTGGAATTGACAAGCAAAGAATGTTCTGATTAGAGAGAGCTCAAAACATGCAATCGATGTTTGGTTTGGGTTCATTGATTTTATTAATGTTTCAATTAATATGCATGTAGCAAGGTTTTGTTTTTGAATGATATAAAATTAGTAATTGATTGCGAAATTGAAGAAATATAAGGTGATGGAGCATATGGCACTCCATGTAAATTGGGTGTCATCATTTTTTGTATTGGTAATGTAGGTATGTTGGAAATGTTCTCTTGTTTGTTTTTTTTTTTAAAATTTATACAGAAAATTACAAAGCGAAAGCACGAATAAAAGTTGAAACGTGGAACTGTAGCACGAAGGATGGGGGAGTGACTAATGTTTGCAAACACATCAACAACAAAGTTGGCTTCTCTAAACACATAGCGGAATTGAATGTATTGAAAAAAGAAAGCTAAAAAGATACAGATTGCACTATTTATATGAGTTTTTTTTAACAGCGTGACTTAAGTGACAGTAAAACAACATTACATGTAAAATATACAATATAGAAAATGTAATTCTCTTAAAAGTGTGTTAAAAATTGAGATGCAATCTCTCACATGTTAATAAGAAAAGGGTATATTAGCATGTATTGCTTGAAAGTAAAATTATGAGAGTGGCCACACCCATGTGGAAGCTCCATGGTTCCTTCTCTCCATTGAAAGCCATACTTTACAAGTCCCAACTACTTTTGATACTCACCACCAAGAGGCAACAACAATTTGCACTCCCTTTATCTTTCTTTGTGCACATAACTGAGTAATAAACATGAAAAGGTTGGGGGGGAAAAGTGATTGGGGCTCTTTGCTGTAAATTATAATGAGGTATGAGTTGGGTGTTTGGAGAGTGAGAAAAGGAAAGAAAGAGATTGGGAAAAAGATTCAGTCATCATTTATTTGTTGTGGGGGCATCTTATAAGAAGAAAAAGAAAAAAGAAAGACAACTGAGAAAGCAAAAATTCAAGAGCAAGAAGGTTGCCTCCCTATATCCTATGCAAATCCCCATACCTTTTGTAGTTTCCTCACCATCAAAAAAACAAACCCATTCTCTCTTTTTGCATATTGAGGCATTATAGTATCATAAACCATCATCATAATGACAATTATTTTAAGGGGAGTGAACAAAAGCCCCATGTATATAATACCCTGGTGGGTCATGAGCACCAATGACCCCTAATTATGTGGCTTGAAGATGAGAGAAAAATTATATTAAAAAAATATTGCTAAAGTTTTTTTTATTAAAAATAAAACACAAAATCCCATTTGCACAATCACTCATGTTAAAGCCTAATAGCTTATTATTGTTGTTTATTTATTTATTTATTTCAGTCATATTGTGAGAGGCATTGACTCACCCACAAAAACACAGATAAAATGAGACCATGGGACCATGAAACCAGATTCCAAGAGCGTGCAAACCACATTGCAACACAGATGCTTGCTCCCTCTGTCAAACTTGGTCCCCATGAGCCCATCCAGGTCTCCATTGGCGCGTGTGATGACCTCTCCACATGAGGGCGTGCAGTCAACCAGGGTGTTTTTGGGTTGGGAAAGAAAAAGAAATTAGAGAGAGAGAGAGGTGAGAGAGGAAAAAGAGGAGAGAGACAGAGAGAGTGTCAGAGGTTAGAGGCAAGAGAACGTGCAGTATTTGAGGCACAGATCTGGATCCACTCAAAACACCCAACTCGGGCACCCACACACTCACTCAACTCACTCAACTCACTCAGTCTCATCTCACTGCTCATACCTCTACCCGTCTTTGTCCTCTATAAAGTTCAAAGGAGAGAGAAATAATAGATGGAGAAGTAGAGAGAGAAGAAAATCCACAGCTAGAGAGAGCTCAGAACCCAAAAAAACCCAGCAGCAGAAACACAGCAACAGTTGCAGCAGTGAAGCAATTGATGGTTCTTCTGCTGCAAAAGAGCCTAGAAACTAGAAAGAAAGGCGGTGGTTTGGCCTTTGGACTAAAAGTTTGACTAGGAATTAAACCAAGTCCTGTAGCTAGAGCTTGGATTTTTATTACAGGGATAGAAAGATAATATGTTTCAAGTAGTCGAGTTGGGAGACACAGAAATTAGAACAAGACTCGTATCCTCTTTCATGGGTAAGCCGTACTTTTACACACACAGTCCAGTTTCAGCTTTCAATTTGGCAAAGAAACTAAAGAAAACTGATTTTTTTACAAGAAAAAAAACAGTGTGTGGTTTTTTTTGGTGGTTTTAGACTTTCAGTTTTATTGCTGTTTCTTTATGCTTATGACTCTTCCAAGTTCCAAACTTTCCTCTCTTTATTTGCTTTATGGAGAAATTCAATCCCCCAAAGCCTCTTTTTTTGGTTGGGTTTTTCCTTTCCTTTCAACAATTAAAGGCAACTCTGAGCTTCAGCCTAGCTAGCCAGTTCTTCTTTTTAATCAATCAAACCACACGAGAATACTACTTTTAACACTCCACACCTTGCTTTATGGTTTTTTCCCTTCTCTCTCTCTCTCTCTCTCTCTCTCTCTGTCTGTCTTCACCTTTATTTATTTTTCTTGGGTTTTGCAGGAATAATAAGATAGAAAGAAAGAGAACACTCTTATCTCCCCACTCATCACAAGAAGTTGTTGGTAGGTAAAAGGTTTTGTGTGTGGTTGAGAAAGAAATTTTACTTGTTTGTTCATAGAGTAGAAGAGCAAATTATCACTTTGCCCTCTCTCTCTCTCTCTCCTCTCTTTCCTCTATCCCTCTCAATTTTTTCAAAACCAGAAACACAAGATTTGGAGGGTTGGTGGCAGTGAAGTTTAGCACACACCAACCCCAACTCTGCTATCTCTATATCATCAACATCAGCCATGGATTCCTATGAAGCTACAAGGATTGTTTTTGCAAGGATCCAAAACTTGGACCCAGAAAATGCTTCCAGAATCATGGGTCTGCTTCTGATACAAGATCATGGTGAGAAAGAAATGATAAGGTTGGCTTTTGGCCCTGAAGCTTTTCTCCACTCAGTGATTCTCAAGGCAAGGAAAGAGTTGGGAGTGCCCATATCAAACTCTCCTTCTACACCTTCCACACCTTCTTCACCTTCCCCCTTTCTTTCCACTAACCCAATCACTATCTCGAGGCAAAACTCTACTTCCTCGTCTTCCAGACTCTCTCTCTCCATTCCAAACCCATCTTCTTCCTCTGCTTCAGCTTCTTGGGCTGCTCTCTCTGAGCTTAGAAACCAAGAAGAAAATAATTTGATCATGAGCCCCAGCAGCAACTTAGCTCTTAATGGGTCCTCTTCATCATCTTCCATGATGAATTCCTCCTTACCCTTCTATGGAAATGGAGGGACTGATGTGATTGATGAGTTTCAGCTTCAAGAGCAGCTCTCTTTCCTCAACGATGGCTGTCCAGCACTTGGGCCCAAATCCCCTGATTTTTTCTACCCCCAAACTGACTTGTCTTCAAGTCCTACCAATGGTTCTGATCCCGCCCTTTTCTCCTCTTACCACGGGTCTGCAAATTGGGGTGGTGGTGGTGGTGGGCCCCTCCACCGGAGAAGCTGCTCTGTCAGTGATGTGTGCTCGGAGGACCCAAACTCTGCTGGGTTTGGCTGGAAACCCTGCTTGTATTTTGCAAGAGGCTACTGCAAGAATGGAAACAGCTGTAGGTTCTTGCATGGTGGAGGACTTGGGGACTCTGTTGTCGATGGTGGTGGTCAAATGGCTGTTGGGTCACCGAGCAAGCTCGAGATGATGGACCAGTCATGCCAAGAAGCACTTCTCAGATCTAAAGCTGCTCAACAGCAACAGCAAAGACTTGCTGCTGCTTCTCAGCTCATGGCCTCAGCTAACTCCTTCCCTTACTCCTCTAAGTGCGTGAACTTCCTTCTTCAGCAGCAACAAACCGATGCCCAAAGGTACAAAATTTAATAAAGTCCTCATCGTTTTTGGTATTAAAGTTCTAATTTTTTCTGTTATATAAGTTAATCTTGCTGTGAAATCCATGTAGGGCTGCAGCTGCTGCTGCCTTGATGATGGGTGATGATATGCACAAATTCAGTCGATCCCGGCTCGAAAGAACGGATTTTTCGATGAATGGTGCTGGGGCAGGAATGGTGAACCCAGCTTCAAGGCAAATTTACTTGACTTTTCCAGCTGATAGCACTTTCAGAGAGGAAGACGTCTCAAACTATTTCAGGTCATTTTTCTGATCCTTGGCTTTTTTAGTGCAAACATCTTCTACAAAGGCATGGTGAAATGGGTTGTTTTTGTTTTGCTGACTTTGCTTGCTGTTGTTTTTGAATGGAAAATAATGAAGCATTTATGGACCGGTTCAAGATGTGAGAATCCCATACCAGCAGAAGAGGATGTTTGGTTTTGTTACATTTGTGTACCCGGAGACTGTGAAGCTCATTTTGGCCAAAGGGAACCCTCATTTCGTCTGTGATGCTAGGGTGCTGGTTAAGCCTTACAAGGAGAAGGGCAAAGTCCAGGACAAGTACAGGCACACTCTCACTTCTTTTTTGATGTTGTTCCCCTAACTTAAACTTCCACTGAAATATCGTTACCGGAAGTAATTATACTCGAGGGAAATTAAGCTAATGCTGCTTGAATGTTATTAATATGCCAGGAAACAACAGCAACAAGTGGAAAGAGGAGATTTGTCTCCCTGTGGTACACCTACTGGCCTGGATTCTAGAGACCCTTATGATATCCAGCTAGGTAGCTAATTCAATCAAAACATTTGCCTTCAAAGAATTATTAATTGTCACACACATGGACAAAATTATTTTGCATTCAACCATGCTTCTCTTGAATTGTAGGAGCAAGGATGTTTTACAATCCTCAAGACATGTTGTGGAGGAGGAAGCTGGAGGAGCAAGCACTTGAAATTCAAAGCCGAAGGTTAATGGGTCTGCAGCTTCTTGATGTGAAAAAGCATCACCACCGTTCTCTTTCTTCCAGCAGTCCCATTCAGTCCCCTACTCAGTCTCCAAGCATGTTTAATCAAAACCTAATGTTTCCTTCAATTCCCAATGGCCCAGAAGTTCCGCAAGGTATTTTTGTTGCTACATTTAGAATGTGGTAAATAGGCGTCATGGTTCAGTACGGTAGCTAACATTTTAATTGTTCTCGATCGCAGAGAACTGCTCTACCCCGATGCCACCCACTGCTTCAGAAGTGGATGACGATCAGTTGCTTAAGGAAGCAGCGCATGTTGTGTTAGGTAAAGAAGTAATGGCCAACAATGATGAAAATGGCAGTGTCAGTGGCAATGCCAATGCCAATGGAAATGGTGAGGAGAGCCCCCGCGATAATGTCAATAACTTGCTTGAAAGGTATGCAGGATTTTGCATCAAATTTCTGTGTTGGTTTTCGAAGTTGTATGAACACTCTGTTGAAGCTTATGGACCTTATAATTAAGTGCATGCAGCTTGGAGCACAACCTTCCTGATAGTCCTTTCGCGTCTCCAACGAAAGGCGCCGGTGAGTACACGTCGGCCTTCCCCAGTGGGACTACCGAGGCCAATGACTCCGATGCCTCAGCTGCTAACATGAACTTGGCCACTTCACTTCTCCCAGCAGCTTCAACACTCGACATGGCGTCCTTCAAGTCTTTCAACTGCCAAATTCCAAGGTTACCCCAAACTCCTTTCCAACAAATTTATCCATGGCATCATGGTGCCTAAATTATACCCTAACTTGGGAATGTTTGATTGAATTCAGGTTGTCCTCTGGCCATGGAACCATAGGAGGGATGTATGGGGGCACAGGAGCTGGACCGAAGTGCCCGGTTGGAACTTCCTAATTAAGCTCTTAACTAGGTACAAGTTACTTTCAAAGCTTTAAGATTTTGTTTTGTTTAACCACCATAACATAATCTATATGATTATTTGGCTGTATTTGCAGGAGGATCAACATGTCAAGTTAATAAACCAAACAAAACCCACCAAAAATCTGTAGAGATCATCATCATCATCATCATCATCAAATCCCATCCCCACCAGCAGCACCGCCATCATATCATCAAATACCATACTAGTTACTACCATACAAAAATGCATACGTAAAAGGCAAAAAAGGAAGTGGGTCAGCCATTTCCTTTTCTTTGTTCTTTGTACTCGGTTTCTGTAGTTGAAGTTGCAACCACAGGTTAAAAAGTTTTAAAGAAGAAGAGAGACAGAAAGAATCAAAACACGGTCAAAAAAAATATGTTAGTTTGTAACTTTTGGCACTGTAATCTTAATTGTCAGCCTTCCCAATTGTTCCCCTTTAAGTGAAACAATTGCCAAAATCTAGTTTAGTCTGTTAGTCTGTGTTTTAGTGTAAAACAATCTTTGTACAGCAGAAGCGGAGGCAGAAAGAAGCTAGCTGATAGAGAGGTAAAAAAAAGAAGAAAAGAAGGTAAATTTGTAACTACAAGGCTGATTCAGTCAGGACTCTTTAAAGGGTAGTTGAAATTGAAGGAGCCTGTGAGGAGGAAGGCAAGCTGTGAAGCAAAATCAGTCAGCTGAGCTCAAGTACGATATTGGGAAACTTTTTTTTTTTTTTTTTTACCATTATCAATCAATGATGTGTTCCTGCTACTTGTAGTGGTTGTTATACACAGACAGTTGTACCTTTTGCTGTTAAAATGTTGAAAAAAGAACAGTAAGAAAAACTTAGGATGAAAATCAGAAATGAAACAAGTGAGTTTTTTACTCTAATTTGGCATCTTTTTCGCTTCTTTCTGTGCATTTGGCTTTTATGATGGAGGAGTGTTTTTTTTGTCTCTTTGTTTAAAAGCCACTTCCATTTTTTCTTCTTTTTGTAACTGGTGGGATACTGTCTTTAAAATTATCTATTCATGGGGAGCTAAAGACTAAAAGCAAGTGGGGACCACCCACATGGGTGGTGCTGACGCTGCACGTGGGTCCTACTCATTTATCTAATGCCAGATTGGGGGTGGGGCCTACACACCAAAACCCCACCCATGTGAGTGATCTATACAATGCCACTATCTCTCTCTCTCTCTCAGTCTCTCTCTCTCTCTCGAGCCTTTACTTTCTTCTCTCTCATTGACAGGAGAAGGAGAGGACATGAACAGATCAAAAAGTAGATGTTGATGCCCACACGTATGACAAAAGTGCACGGATACAAGAATCTTTTGGGGTCTGTAGCCTTGTGAATGCGTGAGAGAAAATTGGGCAGTAACTCAGAGAGAGAGAGAGAGAGGGAGAGAGAGGCCCTAGATTTTTACTGTTGCCTCGGAGTTTGGACCAAAAGGTGAGGAGTAAATACGAGTGTAGAGATAGTGAGAAACAGGTAGGCAGGCAAAGGCTTTGGTAACTACAAAGTTACCATAACCATGCTGATATGTTGACATTGCAGGGATTATAAACTGAAAGAGAGACCATATCCATATGCTGTTTCCCAATAGAGAAAGAGAGAGAGAGAGAGAGAGAGAGAGAGAGAGCTAGCGTAATTTAGGGTTTGTGTGGAATGATGGGCTCAATAGTGTTGTGCAATTAATAAGTGATCATGATCTTTCGACCATTTTGATTTAGACCCTTTTTTGGGTTCACTGTATTATATTTGTTAGAATTATACGTTTGTAGAAAAATGACATTGACGGGAGCAAAAGGGATGAGGAAATCGGACAATAGGGTTTCAGAAAAGGAGGATTTCGCCTAGATTCGCTTATCAATTATGAGCCATGATCATGATAGTTGAAATAAGGCAATCTTTTGTCACGTGTTGTATGTTTACTAGGTTACTAATTTCGGCTGCACTCTTTCACCAAGAATTTCATAATATACATATATATATTTTTTACACAAACGATATTCTACTTTATTATAATCTAAACTACGGGAAAGATGATTCAGACTTATATAATTCATAATAATATTGACAATATGGCAACAATTTACTAATCATTCAATTAAGAAGCTAACAATATAACATATACTAGAACTATCGATAGCATGTGTTTGGAAGTTACTGCTAATCATAAAAATGTGTTTGGGAGAGAGAAAATTTGTGGTAAATACTTGGTTATATTCTTCTCTCTCTCTATGTGTGTGTGTGTATATTGTGATTGTATGAAATTATGTGAAGTGAGAAAAGGGTAAATAAGAAATCATTATTTCATGTATAATCTCAAATGAACATGATTGTGCCGGAAGAGGATCCAAGGCATTCTCTTTTGGCTTCTTTTTTCTATTTTTGCAATACTTTTTATTAGATTGTCGGGTAGCCCACTTTAGTTTTAGTTATAAAAAAACTCGAGAGCCCTAGCAAGCACTCAATATCATTAAGATGCATGTTTGTTGGGTGCATGCTAATTAAAGAGGAAATGTTCAAGAAGAAGCGGCTCCTCCTCCCATCTTGTGGATGGATGGATGGGGTTTGTTTGGTCAAATTGTGTGTGCGGGGGGGGGGCTTACGTTTTCATATGTGCAGCTTTTTCTCGTGTCAAAATTATAAGAAGCCAGTGGTCAGGATTTTACAAAAGAAACAAGGAGCACCGAATTGATGGTGTCATCATAACTACATAATTATCGGGTCGCTCATGGTTTATGGGTTCAATTTTGACCCGACTCATATATGAGTTTAAGTGAAACTTGGTTTATAAAGTGTTGCAATTTATCATCTATGTCAAGTTCTATTCAGTTTTCATTAGCATGCCTCTCAAATGGAGAGATATTCGTCCATCTATACGTATTAGGGCTCGCTAATGACTACATCTTATAGAATTGTCAAGGATCTAATATGGAGGAAATCAATTTGGGAGGGAAATGGGGGATTGTAAGGTTCCAAGTTTGATCGGCTGTTTGGATGGAAATCGATTTCAGTGATCCCTAATCTGTAGATGGAATAAAATATCCTCAACATAAGGGGTATATGGTAAATTGCAACACTTTACATAGTCCAAGTTAATATTAAAAATTAATTAAAATTTCATGTGGATTATCACTTTGAGTTAATATTAACTATCATTTGCTTCCCTTTTTATTTTACTTTTTACTTTTAGAATGCACATTCTAATAAGAGGTATGGTAAAATTTTTGCAATTAAAGTCACCGCCCAACAACAAGAAATCAAATCAAATATTAGAAAAAGGTAGGGAAGAATAGAACCTTATTGATGAAAATAAAGAAATTCAATAGCCATCCGTCCTCCTACGCGCTTCTCAAAACAAGCCTCAAGTATTTATCTGCATAATGATATTATTAGGGAATGATCAGTGAAATTGACATTCCATGTCTTACCAACTTAACTGTGTTAATAACATTTGCACAAGAAACGAGAAAGGAGTACCTAACTCCATCAACCTTTTTTTTTTTAGTGAAAGGGATTTGAGGAGGGGGTTTATACAAATATTCATGGAGTGTTTAGGGATTTCGAACTTTTGTCTACATGGGTCGAGGTTGAAGAACTCAACCAACTGAACTGTACCACACTAACAACTTCATAAACTCATTTAACAACACATAGAGAGAGCTCGTAAGCCCGATTCTTCAATATTCAGGCACAACAACACATAGAGAGAGCTCGTAAGCCTCAGATCTGATTCGTTTGTAGAGAGAGTAGAAAGTGATGAATATAGAGAGAAAAATAGAAATAGATGAGCAATACAAATCGACGAGGGAGGGGAGGTTGCCAGGGAGGAGTTGTGTCAACACATGTAGGTGAAGGGTTTTGAAATATTTCCCTTTTTTAGTTTTTCCTTTTAAAATTAATAGTGTGAGAAAAAAAAACACATAAAATTTCCTAATACACATAAATTCTTCTTCTAAAGATGTAAAAGAAATTAGAGCAAATTAAACTCAACGTACGTGAATTGAATCTTCAGAAATCCTTAGAGCAACGACTTTCCGTCTTTAATTTCGTCAATCCTTGTTGAAAGAGCAGAAGAGATGGTGATTCTGGATTAGGTAGTTTTATTTTTTCTTGAAGGCGGAGGGCCGGAGAGAAAGAGAATTGGAGAAAAGGTAATGATTTAGAGCATCCACAATGACCGGCGTAAATTTGGGATCTATAAGAGCAACTCTAGTGGAAGATGCTAAACACTGTGCAGTTGGCCTTTTTAGAAAACTAATCCAAAAACCAAGCTCCACTGGGCCGGATAGTTGGTTACTAAAAATTGGACATGGCCCAAAACCCATCAGATCGGTTGTGTATAATTTTTTTTTTTTACATAATTATTTAACTCTAATGCTACATTTTTAATCTCATAATTAATATTTCCCCAAGCCCAACTTCAAAACATCTCGCTTTTTAAGGCCCAATATCTCTCTTTGTATGAAATTGGATCATTTGTTAATTATCAAGCCCAAAAAATAAAATTTTAGTTTGAATTTGTACTAAAAAATTCAAAAACAAAAAACAAAAAATCTTGTCCAAAATTGAAAACCAGACTAAAATCAGTTCAAACTGAACTGGCTAGTTTTAATAAAAATATTCACTAAAACTGGACTAGTTAAATAATACCGATTCCGATTTCGATTTAAGGTCCGATTTCGATTTAAGGTGAAAATCGAACCAAACTGAACCGCATCCACCCCTAGTGGCCATTATCCGACATAGAAGAAGTACTATAATAGTACACAACTTATAAGCAGGTGATCCACTACATTTAGATAAAGCCCACACTTGAATAGGTCCATTTTGTTTTATCTCACACAAGGTACTGGACCTAAGTGAGCTCTTATGGGCTAGAGACTACTGCTTTGAATTGGGCTCCCTTCAAGCAGACATACAAATTTGATACTAGAGACATACAAATTGTAAACTCTCAGAAACAAAAGTAAAATGAACTTGTGGAAGTTAACGAGAGAAGGGGTACAAAATACAAAATTGAAGCTAGTTAATATTGGCACTAGAGACTAGTGCTTTGAAATGGGTTCCCTTCAAGCAGGCCTACAAACTATAAACTCTGAATAACACATGTAAAATGAACTTGTGGAAGTTAAAGCAAATGGCAGAAATTGGTAAAATATTTAAAATACCAAAAATTGTCCTTAATTAATGAATTTATTAAGCATTGAAACTTTACGTTAAATAAGGATATAGTATAGTAAATTAACATTTTTTCATCTTAAATTTTTAAAAATTGAAATAAGAGCATGAGGTCCTATTTTCATGGGACACAACTTCTTTTTCTTTTTTTGTTGTTAAATTCTCTTAATTCATAAATTAAAAAAATTAAAAAATCAGTTGGCATACACGTGAATATGTGTGAATGGGCCAATATAAAAATGAAGCAAAAAAGTAATAGAACGGAATAACATCATGAATTCTCACATTCATTAATACTTAATAGATTGACGATTGAAGGAAATTTATTGCCATGAATTTTGCGAGCATATTTAGCACATGTGTGCATGAATGAGATGAAAGAGGTGAGGAAGAAACGAAGGAGAATACAAGAATTTTAATTTTGAATCTTTATGGACCTTTTAAAAAAACATTAAGGCTCACTCAAATTCAAATATACATTGTGATCTGACCAGCCAAAAACTAACGAAATCCGAAGAAAAACCCTACAGAAAGAAACCTTTGCACCTCCTTCCCTAC